ATAAGCAGACAGGCCACGCAGAGGGTCAGCGTGACAGGATGATGGGCTGAGATGGTGAAGAAGGCTTGCAGGAACTAGTCTTATATTTCACACTTGACATTTCAAACTTGTCACGATTTAGAAACTTCTCTCCTGACCGTGAACTTGGGTGAAGCGAGATCATCTGGTTGTCGTCGTCGGGCACCGTGTTGATGCAGCGGCTGTCCGGCTGGATCGGTCCGGGTCTCATCACCGTCATCAGAACCTCCTCCCACACGTCCGGCAGCTGCAGAGCCGACAGACGCAGAGATGTTACCTCTATGCACATAAATAAGCAGGCGCGTGCACGTTTATCTTTCCAGGCTAACAGATGAGGCAGGTACACGGGTCAACAAAGGCTACAACTACGAGATAAGCGCCAAAGTTCTCCCACTGATTCAGGACATGACGACACACGCGTTCAATGGCAGACTCACACCTGCGGTTCGTAGCGGATCAGGATGTCATATTCCATTGAGTGAGGGACGTTGTCTACAGTGAACTCCAAGAAGGCCCCCTCTGGAACGTTGGCTAGCCCGATGCCTGTCCAAGTGGGACTACGGTCCTGAGGGTGTGGCCTCTGGACCACCGTCACTCCCTAAAGAGATGCAGACACAAAGATGAAGATGAAGACCCTCAACACCTCACATAACCCTGCTGAGGAGGAACAATCCTCACAGGCTGCAGGTCCACCTGTAACAGCCGGCCTGCAATCCAGAGTACGGTCAGAGACTGAAAGGACACTCACAGGTCCAAACTTTGCGTCCTCAGCCTCGTAGGTGTAGTGATCCAGAGCAATGAAGTAGAACCCAGACTCCACCTGATCGCAGCGGCGGCTGAACATGTGATCTCTGCAGACGCACTGACCGGTCACGTGATCACACCTGCACGCAGACAGGAAATACAAACATCACAACAAAATAAAATCGTTGGTTCAACTCCCGACGGAGCAAATGTGACGTAATACTGAACTCACTGATTGTTGATGGCGCCTCCGAGGTCGCAGTCACATGGTCTGCAGCCGTCCATGTCGTTACTGAGACCCCAGTGTTCAGGCTGGACACACACACACGCACACACACACACACACACACACACACACACAGGTCTGATTGGTTACTCCCACACTGTTTACAGTCCTCTCTCTGCACTGATGTGATGTATAGTGTTTTTGCATAAATCTCATTAAACAAGACTGATCTTACAGAGTGTGTGTGTGCGTGTGTGTGCGTGCGTGCGCATGTCTGTGTGTGTGTGTG